ATTATAATCATGGGTCAATAACATGGTGTAACTTTTTTTGGTTCTGTCGTTTAATGAGGTCAGAAATGTACTTTAGTGCATACAGTTAATACAGATCAAAGGAAGAGCTTTTGTTGAAGAGCATCTTTTCTCAATTAGTTTGGGTATTTGGTTGAGAGCAGGAGGTATATATGTATTTACTTAAAATATATGTAGTGCAAAAAAATAGATATCTTGCAATCCAACATAACTGACTACATTAATAAGTATCAAAAAATATTTAACTTTGTAATATGTAACTTTACAATAAATAAGGCAAGGTTAGGTGAAGTAAAATCTCATATATTGTATGACTGAAACAGAAAATATGGTATTAAAATCCAAAAATCAAAAATAAGTGCTCAGGTGTAGCTTAAATAATGTGCTTAAACAATGTTAAATAATATAGCTTAAATAATAATGCTCTTTGGGTAAGGGATTCCTCAGAATAAACAGCAAAAATCAGCCCAAGACACTCAAAAAATGTGGAAAAAATATTTAAAAGTCTTTATTCACATGGCTGGTCCCTAAAAAACCTACACATTTCGGCAAAGAGCTGACTTCATCAGGGTAAAGATGAAGAGTATCAGGTAATGCTGCCTTTATCATGGTAAAATACGGAATATTTGGAAAATGGATTGTGGTGATTGGAAATATGCATAATATATCTTGCATTATTATCATTATTTACTAAAATATTCATATGTGCACTATTGCACATTGTAAAGACATTGAAATAATAAAAATGGCTTAAAACTAGTATTTTTTACAAAACGTTGACAAATTAACACTTTATATAACCCTTTCAATATGTAATAATTTGACTGTTATAAGGCAAGTTTGATCAGTTCTGTTAAATGTGGTGTTACTCACTAAAAACAACTATATTATGGTATAAATGTATTAATAATTAATAAAAATCTCTTGGGATTAAAGTTTACATACAGAAAAAATACAACTATAACAACTTATATTATTATTATGATTATTATTATTATTGTTATTGTTATTATTATTATTATCAGTGATTTTTTTTTTCATGTGAGATATTGTTATTAATAATCATCATTGATCATTTATGACATGAGTCACCATTATGTCCTTATTCCCAGTAGAAATCTTTAACAGTTTAATGAATAATGTTGGTAATGCAGTGGAAATTTTAACAAGGTGTAATAGTGAACACTGATTGAACTATACTTTACTATGCATGTAAGAATAACCATTAACCTTTAACCATTCACCTAAGTTAATTCTCATTTTTCACCAACAATCAGGATTGTGTCAGAGAACTACATTTCCCATCGTACCAAATGGCATCGCAAGAATGTTGCAATAGAACAAAAAAAAAGAGCGCATAAAATTTCTCAGCATGTCCCTATTATTCTAGCCAGCAGCTCTTGGACTCACATCATATCCTTAAAAGAGTTTCCAAACGTTAAAGAGAGCACTGGAAGAAAGCATTTCAGAAAAAGCGTTCACTCTTTCCCTCCTATCTCAGCTCAGTGTATAGGCACATGTAGTTAACCCATTAACTAGCCTGTCCATGCATGTGAGCTTGTGTGTGTCTGTGTCCTCCATATGTATAAATGTGTTGGACGGCACAGTAGAGTAGATCTCTTCAAACGGGCTGTGTTTTCCCCCAGCATGTCTCCATATGGCCTGTTCTGCTGGCTCCCACTTGCGCCGCTTCAGTTCCAACACTCGCTGTCCCAGATGCCACTGCAAACTCTCCCCAAACACACACACACACACACACACACACACACACATGCGCCTATAGGGACGCTTCATCTTGATTACAGTTGTTTATAGACAAGGAACTTTGGGGGGGGTTGTGCATATGAATGTTAATGGTGTTGGTGGGGATGGTAAAAGAAATACATTTCAATGAATATATTTAGCAGTTGACTTTCATTTAGTTATTAAAGTCAGTTCAGAAGACATGTTAATAGTATTAGTCAAAGAAATTGTTTATTGTTTCAGATTAAAGCAATCTTTGTTATAAATACACAGTCAAAGTTATTAGCCCCCTCCCCCCTTTTTTTATTTTTATTTTTTAGATATTTCCTAAATGATGTTTAAAAGAGCAAGGAAATTTTCACAGTATGTCTGATAATATTTTTTTCTTCTGGAGAAAGTCTTATTTGTTTTATTTCGGCTAGAATAAAAATTGGAAATATGCATAATATATCTTGCATTATTATTATTTGTTTTTATTTTTTTAATAAACGTTTTAAGATAAAAATTGTTAACCCCTTTAAGCTTTATCTTTTTGATAGTCTACAGAACAAACTACGTTATACAATAACTTGCCTACCCAAACCTGCCTAGTTAACCTAATTATCCTAGTTAAGCCTTTAATCTCACTTTAAGCTGTATAGAAGTGATCATCAACCGGCAAATAGTTCATATCCAAAACTCAAGACCACAAGTACGTAGGATGCATGAAAGTACCTGAATGTGTTCTTGATATTCAGGATGTGTGGATGCAGACTTGACCGCAAAACTCGAAGCTTGACGTCCCAGTAGTGATTCTGGCTGAATAATAGAGGTGCAAAGCGCAGCATTTCATACAGATTTATTATTAAAGTTCAAAGGTATAGCTTGTCTTAAACTCTCAGAAATAAAGGTATGCGAGCTGTCACTGGGGTGGTACCTTTCTTAAAAGGTACAAATTTGTACCTAAAAGGTCCATATTAATACCTCAAAGGTACATATTAGTACATTAAATGTACAATTGTGTTCCTCTTAAAATTTGTAGATACTTATATATACTTTTGAGGTACCAATATATGGACCCTCGCATACCTTTATTTCTAAGAGTGTAGGAGTTTTCCTAAATGAGACGCTGAAAGTAAACATTACCATGAAAATCTCAATAAAAGCAATTTGTATAAAATCTGTTTTATTTGTATTGTGCAAAGTATATTTGTAAGGCGTTTGTGCATTGTGCTTTTTATTTTGAAAAGGGCGAAAACAATACATTATTGTATGAATGCTGTAGTGTTAAAACAATTTTTAAGTCAAAATACGTGAAGGTCATGTGACCATGAGGAAGAAGCATTTCATTTCTCACAGCATGCGTTTTCTGTTCTCGCAGTCTACTGAGTTCTTTCTTCCGAGATTAACTGGCAAGACTGCTTTGCACGAGAATGCAAGTCCATTCTCTGCGTTCTTTAAATTGAGCAAACAGCCTCTTTATAGTGCATATTGAACGCAGTATTGCTTACAGCTGTAACCAAGGAAAAGCTGTTAATCTTGCAGTTTTATAGGTGGCATCTGCTGGAAGAAAATATATTTGATTTATTATCTGCATTTGTAATGTTTTAAGTTTCAAGCAGTATGTTTTATGTAGCATTAAGTCATATTGGGGTTTTTTCACATCATAATTTCAAATTATACAATAAATGTTTAATTACTAACTATCTAATATAATGTATAATGTGCTCATGATCATGATTGAAGTGCAGTTGTTGGCTCTAATAATGATTCAGATTCACTGCAGATTCAGCCTATTATACAGCACATAAACATTTTGCCATTTATTTCTGGTTTCTAGTAAAAAAAAAAAAGAAGGAAAAAATATAAAAAATTGGAAATCTGTATTGAATCAGCCAATTTAAGTAAAGGAATCACTATCGGATTATATATATATATTTGGTGCATCAATAGTAAAACACAAAATATGTCATTGCTTTAGAATTCAGTCATTAGCCCAATTATTCACTTTTATGATGAATGAATGGACGTTGGGGTGCTTTGAAAACTCATTCACTGCCATTTTACAAATTTGGTAGAGATTTATATTATTTAATATACCCAGATTGCACTCATCTGAAATAATATAGGCATTTACTTTCTTTATTGTCCACAAGTGGAAGTTTATCTTTGGATTCACCACAACCACATCAGCGTCCACACTACACATATCAGAGAAAAACAGTCAACACAAATACATTCAATATCATCTCATAAATCACATTAAAGACTCAATTAAAACCCTGTTCATATACTTAAAACCCAGTATTTAAAATTATAATGGGAGTGGGCACAAAGGAGGTTTGATACACATTTACTTGAGGTTGCCTAAAACGTCTTTTTGATGGCAAGAACTGGAATTTTAACAATCTTTAATCTTTAATAATGACATGTGCTTTCTGTTTAATTCTCACTTAATAATTTTCATTTCGTGGTCTTTGTGGTTTACTTACAATTGCATTGGGAACTTTTACTACTCAATGCAGTTTTTGCTTTTCTTTAATCGGCAACAGTTCATACCACGCAATCATGTTCAAACTCACAACACTTTCAACCAAGTTCTTGTACACCATCTCCAGAATATCCTGACTTACATCAAATTGTTGTAACCTCCTAATAAGATATAAAATCTGCATTGCTTTTTAAAAATACATTCTACATTTCCAGAAATTTTAATTTACCCCCAGTTTACAGTATAGAATGGCTTGACAATGAGTAAATGATGGAATTATTTTTTATTTACTGTCACGTTAATGACTATTTATGAATAGGTGAGTACCAGTGGTGTAATAGGATGCTCATTTCAGGACTCAAGAGTCATGAGATGGTACTGAAATGTTACTATGGCAGAAAAACCCTTGACTTGTGTACATGTTTGTCATAAAACTAGCCACACTCTCTAACCCCACATTCTCCAAACCATCACACCAAAGGAAACTAAAAGAGACCCGATAACCATTGCTGACAGTCATTTTTTGTCGAGTGTGCACTTAGAGATGTTGAATGTTGAATGTTTATCTGAAGCTGAATGTTGAATGTTGATTGTTTCTATTCTAGCAACTGTTATAGCACTGTTGTCTGCTGTGTTCTTTGTACGATCTTTGTTTTTTTTGGGCTTTATAACAACCTGTCCAACCCTTTTGTCTTGTTTTGTTTCTCTCTCGTCTCTCCTCCTTCCTCTCCTCTCCTCCCTCCCACGTCCCTTCCCTTCCCTCCTGCAGGATGTGCGTTTGTCACGTTTTCTACCAGGGCTATGGCACAGAATGCAATCAAAGCCATGCATCAGTCTCAAACCATGGAGGTACTGTACCCTTGTCTTCTCTCTCTCTCTCTCTCTCTCTCTCTCTCTCTCTCTCTCTCTCTCTCTCTCTATCTCCATCTCTGCTCTGTTTCAAAATTGAATGGGTTGTCTACTTAGGTGGTGTTTTAGGGGGGCTCATACATTGGTGCTTTTGGACATCCTTTTGCTGACCAAATCGTAAAATACACTAGCTATCTATATTAGCCATGGTAGTTGTAGTAAAACTGTGGTTATACCAATAGTATATTGTATATCAATACGCCAAAAACATACTTATTTTTTTACTATAATTTTCATCTTTAGTAGCAAGACTTATTAAGAGTCATTTTAATCTAAATAAAAGCATCTGTGTTTATTTGCACTTGTTAATTTAAGCGTTAGCATAGCAGCTATCTTCAAACTAAATCCATTAAATATTACTAAAAGTTATCTAAATTAATAGTTGTGTGAAATAAAATCATGAATGGCTAATGATGTGAAGAAATGTCAATTATCAAACCTTATAAAATTATACAATATACAAAAATATACAAAAGTATTTTTGTTAGCTTAGCAGAATGCTAATCTGTCCACGTTTACCATTGTAGCATTTTTCTGGATTAGAAATATCACTGGTAGCTTAACAACATGCCCAACCTTCAACTATTGCTGACATCACATACAGTATTTTTCTAGTGTATAACAAACTGCCTGAAGTCTTGTCGTGGATCCCAGTCATAAGAGCAACAAATAATAACTTGATTTCTAGTTGATCACGTGGAAAAGTGGCTGAAGCTAGATTTTTCTGATGAATCATCTGTTGAACTGCATCTCAATCATCACAAATACTACAGAAGACTTATTGGAACCCGCATAGACCTAAGATTATTACAGAAATCAGTCAAATTTGGTGAAGGAAGAATCATGGTTTGGGGTTACATTCAGAATGAGGGCGTGCAGGAGATGTGCGAGGTATCAAGACATTCGTGCTGCCCATTACATTACAAACCACAGGAAGGGCATATTCTTCAGCAGGAAAGCCCTCCTCATACGCCTCCACATCAAAGTTCCTGAAACCAAAGAAGGTCAAGGTGCTCCTGGATTGGCCATCCCAGTCACCAGATATAAACATTATTGAGCATGTCTGGGGTAAGATGGAGGAGGCATTAAAGATGAATTCAAAGAATCCAGAGATGTATGGATGCAGTTCTCCAAGCTCATGGGAGTCATACACAATATTAATTCTTTTTCCACTGCACCACGGCTTTATATTCTATACTGTACATTATTTCTGTTAAATGACAAGACTTTAGTCTAAGCAAAGTCAGTCCTAATTAAATAATTAAAAATCAAGGCATGATCATATTTTATTTTGGTAAAATAAGTGTAATGTTGAGGCCTTATAAGCCACTTCTGATACCAAATGATCAACTAGAAGTCAAGTTATTATTTGTTGATCCTAAAACTTGGATAGGCGACAAGATCAGGTCAAGATTAGGTCATGTGATAATGACAGCTTAAACAACGTACTACATCCAAATTCTATTCATACCATTGATATTCATTACTACACTCACAACTTTATAAACCATGTTTTTCTTATGGTTGGGACGTTAAAGTTCATATATAGCACCTACCCATCCAGTTTGTGAATTCTGACGCACCATATTAAAAAAAATTATAATAATTAAATAATTAAACAAAAAAGGTGCTATGTTTACAAGATACATTTATTTTAATTTTTACTATAAAAATCTTCAAGATAGTTAAGAAAACTATATTTGGTGAAAGAACTTTAAAAACAATAGGTAGTATAGAAGGATATCGCCTATGTTATTAAACTTTAAGAAAGCTCTCTATATTTTAGAACAGAGCCTCTCTTACTCCCTCTCTCTCTTTTTCAGTTTGAATTGGCCACCAGTATCACTACATTGTACAGATTCAAAAAGTTCCAAGATAAAACTTTCTTTCTTGGAAACAGTCACTTTTCCACTTTCAACGCCATATTAAGTGGCTCTTCGCTCCCTGTTATTACTGTCAGGCACTGCCAAAACCACCCCTGGCCAAACGGGTCAAACTAAGAAGGACCCCCCGCACACACCGTGCAACCAGTCTGCCATTAGCCGGCGGGTCTCGCGGTGACGGTGTCGCAGACGCTTTAATAACAGGCCTCCGACGGGCCCTCGCATTGTGATTGCCCTGTAGAACGCCTGCGTGCTGCTCTCAGAGTTTAGCAGTCCGTCTTGGTGCCTGTCAAAATGTCAAAGCTCTGACAAACCAAATCAGAGGGTGCTGACAGCTGTCTAATACAGGGTACTAACTATGTGTCTGTGTGCGCACGCAAGTCTTCGCGACGTTAACCCTTTCAAATCCGACGTTTTTTAACATCAACATCCAAATTGAAAGACCCCCTATTAATCAATCAGAAACCACTGACACTAATGGATTTAAGCCATTTTCTCAAGTCCCTAGAGGACTGTAATTATCAATTCTTGGCTAAATTTACAAATATCTTTCGCAGAAATTATCCACAAGAGCTGATTGTAGATGTCTAGGGTCCTGAAGCAAAATGCTATGAGGGGGGCTCCTTTCAGCGTGTTAACAAAAATCCCAAACGACCCCTAAACTACTTAATCTTTTCTATCAGAGCAGTTTTACTGTCAAAAACAGCTGTCAATTATGTAAATAGTTGTTATTCTTATCATTTTCTGAAAAAAAAAAACATCATCAAAAAACTGGTATATATTGGAAATCTGGAATAAATGTTGTCATACACTTGTAGAACAAAACTAAAGTTAGCAATATACTCAAACCGATACCTAACAAATCCAGTAAATCCTGATATACTGAGAATTTTTAAGTGGTTTCTGCCTATGCAATTAGACAGTGAGGAATGTGTGAGGTGAGGAGTTCACTTGATGTCTACAGGCCCTATGCAAAACTTCATGAGGGAGCTCTAGTATACACAGCAACGCTGTGGGCAAAAACTCAAACTAAAAATATTTTTCCATTTTGTTTTTAAAAAAGTTTAAAATTGATTCAGATCTACACAACCAAAAATCTGTCAGACGAATATTTGGTGCTGTTACCTTTTAAACAGGGAAGTGACAATTGGCGTGATGCAAAAAGCAATTAGTTACTTTACTTAAATTGAGTCAACCTGTTGCCTTAAAAGCAACAAGTTGACTTACCTTAAAGTTAGTAAACAATTTGTTACTTGGAAATGTGTTCAGAAATATACTAATTATGCACCGTCGAAAAAAAATCTGTTATTTTGCGTTTTTTATTTATTTAATATTATTTCCAGCAGCTGACGTGGCAGAAAAAACGTAAAATAACAACCGCTAAATTACAGAAACTTACCCCAAAATAATATACGTTAAATTAAGGAAATTTCCATAAATTTAAATTTCTTGTAAATTTATGGCCGTTATTTTGCATTTATGTATATTATGTAAAATAACAGATTTTTTTTTTTTTTTTTACAGTGTGTGGTTACTTGTCTTTTTATTTAAAGTCAACTAATCACTTTAAAATCAATGTGTGTTTACTCACTTTTAGGTAAAGTCAACTAATCACACTAAAAGCAACGTTTACTCACTTTTTAAATAGTCAACTAATCGCTGTGAAAGCAACATGTTAAGTAATCGTTCGTTTACTCACATTTTTTACTCACATTTTTTTACTCGTGTTTTAAAGCAATGCCAACTAATTGCATTAAAAGCAGCATTTACTGACATTTTAAGTAAACGAATCGCTTTAAAAGCAACAGTTTTACTCATGTTTAAAGTAGTAAAACAATCTCTGTAAAGGCAACATGCTAACTCCCTTTTTAAGCAACCAACTAATCACTTTAAAAGCAACTATTACTCACTTTATACGTAGTCAACAAATTGTTTTTAAAAGCAACGTTTACTCTTTAGGTAAAGTCAACTAATCGCTTTAAAAGCAACATGTTAACTTGCGTTTTAAGTAGTCAACTAATCACTTTAATTCAATTTACTCACTTTTTTAAATAAAGGCAACTGGTTGCTATAAAAGCAATGCTTACTGACTTTTAAGTCAACTAATCGATTTAACTGCAACATGTTGACTCACTTTTTTAGGTAAAGTCAACTAATCATTTTTAAAGCAACGTGTTTTCTCACTTTTTAAGTAAAGTCAACTGAGCACTTTAAACGCAACAGTTTTACTCACTTTTTTAAGTAGTCAACTAATCACTTTTTAAAGTGATGTTACATAGGAAAAACTACATAACAATGCTTTGAAGAAAAGAAACTCAATCATTTTATAATGTTTTAATAACCACTAAGCACCAAAAAAAAAAAAAAAATTAAAATTAAAAAAAAATAGCTTGCACAGCCTTCATTATTATATCATCGCTGAGAGCACTGGGGCCTCCTGGTGGTTCGGAGGCACAACACAACTTTCAAAGGATGGGCTCTGTGATCTGCGTTTCGCTTCAGGGAGCCTTTTTTGTATCTTTCTGCACAGTATGGGTCCAAATAGCCATTTTTCCACCTCTGTAAGCTGCGTCTTTTTTCTGCAAAGGCAAGTAATTACGCGGTTTAGATGAGAGCGAGTAAATTGTGTCGGGTTGTTGTTTGTTTTCGGCTGTCTCGTCGAGGAGTTTGTGGCCTTTCTGAATGTCACGACTTAATGAAAACGGATATGACAGAGGGTGGTCTTGCTGCGTCTCAGAGGGTTGTTTTCAGTGCTGTGGTTTGCACTAGTCTCCCTGGACGTTCATCTCGTTTGATGTGTTTGTCTCTCTTTATCTCTGTGACTGCGTTACTGTGTTTGTGTGTGTGTCTCAACAAATGCATGTTTGTATGCACCTCTGTTTTTTTTATGGGACAGAGTTCATAGCAACATGATCGGGTCATATTTGAATGAATGAATGAATGTGTAAAAAATAAATGAAACTATATTTGAAACTATACAAAAACAAAAAATACAACTTTTGAAATTGTGATTAATTATTGCTTTAAGGGAAATATTTCTGAAATATGAACAAAAAATAAACAATTCATGTTTTATTGTTCTTAAATATATGGACCAAATTAACTCAACATTTGGATTTGTCCAAATTTTACCTAATTTGGGATGAAATTATTGCTATAAAGGAAATATTTCTGAAATATGAACAAAAAATAAACAATTGATGTTTTGTTGTTCTTAAATATATGGACCAAATTAACCCAACATTTGGGTTTGTCCATATTTTACCCAATTTGGGATGAAATTATTGCTATAAAGGAAATATTTGTAAAATATGGCAAAAAAAAAAATATATATATTAATTAAATCTATTTATATATAACATAGATTAAATCTGTGCATTTCCAATTCCAATTTCCAATAACAATGTATGTTTTAAATAAATATTTCACCAGAAAATGTATTTTATTTTATAAATATATATCATTATTTTATACTTATTAAAACATATTTTAAAATCATTAAATATTTATGCTTCCTATTCATTTAAATATTTTCTTATTAATATCTTATTTAAATTTGTATTTAATTATTTTATTTGATTTAATTTACATAAGTTACATTTTTTAAATTTTATTATTTTTTAACAAGATTATCTTCAGTTACAGATTTTAACAATGGACATTTTAGCTCGAATCAACTTCTTTCATATTAGTCGAATCATGTCAAGTATGTGTGTGTGCACTTGTGTGTGTGCCTGTGTAGAAGAGCAAGACAGAGTGAGTGAGTAATGAGATTTTTAGGTCTCTCGAGACATTGGCTCAGAGATGGCAGCGCTCGATTGACAGCTTGAGTTAAATCTCATTTCTCAAAGTTTTATTTTTACCTCCTCTCTGTCTGAGAGCAGAAATAAGAAAATCAGCTCACCGAATGGAAGAAACAGCGCAGAAACGCTCACCTCCGCATTCAGGAGGGTCCGTGATCTTTCATCTCTGCTCGGTCTGTGCTTTTGCAGTTCAGAGAGAGCACAATAAAAGCCGGCGCAGCGATTTATCAGAGCGAATCAGCACCTGTAAGGTAGAGACAAGAGAGCGAGATGTGGAATAATTGCCTTGAAACACTCGTCTCAATCTCTCGTCCTCTAGTGGCTCCGTTTGGCTGCCCTGCGTTCACTGCCGTAGCCTGAGGAGCAGCTTTGATTTTAATACGTGTAATGGCGTTTCTGAATGTTCTTACTGAACACCATTCACAAAGTCTGCGTTCTGCAATGCGTGCATTTTAGTACTTGTGTGAGAGAAAGAGAAAATCTGCTGCTTAACTTCATGCTGCTTTTGCATTGATGTAGATTTGAGATCTGTTCAGCACACTAAGCAATCAATGGCTTTAGAAGAGGAAGAATGCGTCGAGTGGTGTATGTGGTGCATATTTAGTCATTTTATGGCCAGAGTTATGCATCTCAACTTCATGTTGAGGTTTTAAAAAGAAAAAATAAATATGTTACAATGATATGTTGTGTTATTGATCAAATTAAAGTGAACAAACAAATAAACACAGTGCATTATGGTTATACAAATTGAAATACAGATAAAATGCTGGTAATAAAAAAACAGACAGTTGATGGACGGACGGATGGATGGACAGACTCTCAGATAGAAGGACAGACGGACGGACGGACGGACGGACGGACGGACGGACGGACGGACAGACAGACAGACAGACAGACAGACAGATAGATAGATAGATAGATAGATAGAACTTTAATTTTAATAAAAATAAAAATAAACATATAACCAGCTAAAAAATTCAATACAAAAAAATCTTTTTTATTTTTTTTTATAAATTGCTACTGTTGCTTATAATGCTAAATATAGAAATCTTGTACAACATATGATATTTATTTTCAATTAATGATTCAACAATTCACAAGTAAAACTTCATGTTTCATTATAGGTGGATCATTTTTGAAAACCTATTCAGTGTCATCATTTTGAAGAACTCTTAATGTTTAATTGTGCAGCTTTACACTAAATGCATTAATACAGGCTAAACAAAGAGTGACAGAAAACACCTTTAATTAATAACCTAGGTAAGCATTTCGGTAGGTCCCACCACAACTTCCTCTTTCATTGATATATTTTACAAGGAACCCAAAATGCTTTCATACACATGATTAGGGAGGCGATTTCTCTGCAATTGTTTTAAATGTTAGATTGACCTACCAGTTCAAAATAGTTATTAATCCGCGGGTCACGTGCGTTCCGAACTGTGGGTTGTGATCTGTACGTTACACCTCAGATAGATGGATTAAAGGATTGATGGATGGATGGATAGATGGATAGATAGATTTGTTGATTGATTTATTGATTACATTTGCTATACATTAAAGCGTTTTTATAATATAAAGTATCAAGTTATTAGCCCACCTGTAAAATTTCCCAGTGACAGATTTTTAAACATAATAGTTTTGATAACTAAATTCTAATAAATTAACGTATTTTTTTCTTCAATATGATGACAGCTTGTTATTGTTGTTTTGTTTGTTATTTTGCAAGATATTGAGACTATTTATATTGACCTTAAAAATTGATTTATACAAATGTAAAGTCACTTTTATTCCAGTCAAACTAAAACTAATTAGACTTTTTCCCAGAAAAAAAAAATATATTATTTGGAATAGTGAGAAAATCTCTTTGCTCTGTTAAACAGCGCTTGGGAAATATTTGAAAAAGAATCAAAATGATCAGCAGGGATAATAATTTAGTCTTCAAAAATGAATAAATAATATATTACAATAAATTGCAACATTATGAAAATCACCACAGAAAACTACAGAATAACACCGATTACTAATAACCTCAAATAACAGAGAGATTATTATGGTTATGGAAAGCCTGAATGAATGAATGAATGAATGAATGAATGAATCCACCTTTTGTTAATTTTTTTTTTAATGTTTTGAAAGAACATGAAATTAGATCATGAGTCCATCTAAACAGTTTGCTCGAGTAAACTATGATAACACTTGCTCATATGCTCACGCACCCTCCTCTCATTATATTCTGACCCTGAGGGCTGCAGTTAAATGGGCAGCACAGGTCAGACCCATGACATTTAATATTTGTTTACCTCTGTTTTTTGGGGAGAAAGAGCCCGGACACGCTGGAGATTAGCAAAAAAATGCAGCAGGGTCTGTAGGGTGCAGTGAGGGCTGTGGGGTGGGAGATCGCGCTCGCTTGCTCAGACAGATGATGAAATAGTTTTATAAAGCAGGAAATCGCTTTCCTGGGAAATAAAATCAGCAGCACGGCACAGAACTCTCATTTCACCAAGAACTCCCAGCGCTTGTGTGTGTGTTTGTGCACCATTATCGCTTTATGCTGTAGCGCCGCACAAGATCATTGCTCTTCAGGATACTTAGCGTTCTCTTTTTTTACCTCTCTTTCACTTGCCTCCTCTCTCTCTCTCCATCTGTCCACACAGGGCTGCTCCTCCCCCATGGTGGTGAAGTTCGCCGACACGCAGAAGGATAAGGAACAGCGGCGGCTGCAGCAGCAGTTGGCGCAGCAGATGCAGCAGTTGAACAGCGCTTCTGCCTGGGGCAGCCTGACCGGCCTGACTGGCCTCACCCCGCAGTATCTGGCAGTAAGAGGACACACCCACGCAGCCACGCCCACCAGCAGCACAGCCAACGCAGCCGCCGCAGTCAGTCACTGTCTCCGCCCACCTGCCCCGCCCCCTCCTCTCTCGCTCTCTCTGAGCCAGTCTCAACCCTTTCCAAATCTCTCATCTGTTCAGCTTTGATTCAGTCCAGTCCTTATTCAATATAATGCTGCCACTTAGATGGCATAAGGGCAGTGGTTCTTACCCATATTGCTCAGGGTCAACAATAGCTAAGTTTCCATTCACCTATTTTTATGTGCATTTTGCATATGCGCATAAAAAATCGGTTGATGGAAATGGCAAGATGCACATCAATTTTGAAAATAAGCATAGAAAATGTATGCACATAACTGAGTAGGATCAAATTTTTATTCGATAAGGAAAAATGTGCATTAACTACGATGGAAACACTTTTACCACACAAATTCCAGTATTTTATTTGATGTTCCAGTTTTGCTAAGTTATTTCACATTATTGGATGGAACCATAGCTAATGGGGTTTCAAGACGTAAACTGGAGTGAAAAATCGTTCGAGGAATCAATCTATTGAAATTAGGGATGCACAATAAATCGTTTCAGCATCGATATCACAATGTGTGCATTCGCAATATTCATATCTCAGAATTTCAATGAAAAAAAATCACCACAGTGGAATGAACCGCCAACTACTCTGACATTTTATTTTAAATCAGAGACTTAGCCGACGGAAAATGAAGGAAAGGTTGCACTTTGCAGTAACTAAGTAACAAAGTAACCAAAAAATTGTATCCTTTTCAGGCATTTAATCTTAGCATTTCAAACTAGTTTAAAGCATTCGGGCACAATAATTCATAATGTTTGTAACTTTAGAATATGTATATGAAGAATATGTATTGTAATTTATGTATTTATACGATGAAGATTATACATAGTATTTTACATTTGGTTATTCAAATTGTGTACCTGAATACTTCTAGAAACCAAAAAAAGTATAAAGCTGTATTTTTGCTTTACAGTATTTGTCAAAGCATGAGATTGGTTTATTATATTTTATGCAGATGCGCTGCCCTACAAAATCATGCAAATTAATCTAAAATTATATATATTTTTCCAAACAGATTCAATTTATTTAAGTCATCCAGTGAACTTAAACTCAATATCACAATATACATTGCAGGAAAATAAAATATTGCAATGTTTTTTTTATAAAATCATGCAACCCTCATCGAAATGCATCGCTATTTTAGCTTGAATCTGGAATACTGAGCTTATATACATTTTTTTAAAAACTAAGCTCAGAATTATTTCAAGAGAGAATTGTGATGTATTTGGAACATTTTTGAATCAATGCAGAATGTATTTTCTGAATGTTGTAAATGCAAACAGTTTTTTAAAATGGGTATGTTTTCAAACTAATTACATAATGTTGATATGTCTGCTAAAAAAATATGAGGATAAGGTTTCTGTTAGTTAGGTTGTACTAGCTGTACTAAAACCCCTATCCCGATCTTTCTGAATGAAATGCCTACTTGGCTACATCCATTCAGCCCATGGTAGAAAAACAAGCCTCGCCCACTTTTTGCTCATTTAAAACTCTGTTTGTTTAGGAGCTGCGTCACAATATGAAAAAAAAAATAGCAATCACAGCTTTTAGTTCATGGGGACTTTAAAGGATGAAAAGAAATTTGCTGTGAGTATATCAGGGCCTAAAGACAAAACTAGTATTAAAACAAGCGTAAATCAATGAAATGTGTGATTAAGTACAAAATATTCATAATCCTTATACAGTAAATCACGAACAACAACAAAAATGTAAGAAAGTTTGTAGACTAAGGGGGCCTTGGATGCAAAAAGGATAAGAACCACTGCAACAGGAGATACATCTTTTTGTTATTTAATTCTTTAAATTCAGTAAAAAGCCTAATAAAACTAAGAATAATCACCACTACTCAACATGTCATCCCATGCCATAATGCTTTACAAATATGTAGGCCTGTTCTGGCATTGGATAATCTGTCCTAAAAGATGTATGGAATATTGTTCAAAAGAATATACAAATCATCACTTCCCAAACCCAGCTTGGGCTCTGTTGTGTAATTGGATTGGGAATGAAGACAATATTTCAATTCTCTGTTTCACTCACATTCCGTCTTCATCCTCCTAAACATAAAGAGGATGCAACACGGTGGTGACATTTACTTGCATTTCTTTCCATAAGGACAGTGGGTGAGGATTACAGGACTAGGCAAGAGCTTTGGGACAGGGCCATCTCTCCAACCCTTACGCTTCTCCTTTTTTTTCTGCCTTTTTCCACTTCCCTGTCATGTTGAGGTTACGTTTAGCTTTTAAGTAGTCTGAGGGGTCTAGTTCAATGTCATCCTAATCCTCTAGAGTCATTTAGAGTCTGCTTTCCTCTCCCCTTTCATGTGCAGAAACTGCCCAGGACAGCAACACACTGCCAACAGAACTGACGGGCGACTCTTAGCATGACAGTTCTCAATGGCACCGATGCATGAGTCTAATACCTTAAAGTGCTCCTCAAGTATTTTACCATTTTATTCCTCGAATTTCTTTTCATTCTGAGCACTATATGTTGTGACTAAAGCTGCTTTCAAATGATTATTTTAAGTGACTTAGCATCATTTTTGAACAAGAAATAGAATTAATCTTGCCTTTTAAACAGTTGAAAGCAAAATTATTAGTCCTCTTGTAAAAATTATCTTGTTTTTCAAATATTTCCCAAGTGCTGTAACAGATTTTAACACAATAGTTTAATAACTAATTTCTAATAACTAATATCTTTCATCTTTACCATGATGACAGTACACAAATATTTACATATTACAATATTACATATATTTAAGGCTTAGAGGTGCTTTAATGTAAGTTGACTATTCTATAGCATAAAAATACGATAATATGCAGATATTGAAGAAACATGATTGGTAAACATTCTTGTTATCTGAAAAACAATGCTAAAGTCAGATATTCAACTTTAAAAATGTGTGTTACATGCCAGAATGACTGTCTTTGTTTTGGTTTTTTAAACCACCAAATGACAGTAACAACACGCTATGTGACAAGATTTGCAGTGATAATCAATTTGGCTATTGGCACCAGACAGAATCGTTCAAATACAGCCATTTAAAAGCACAGATTGGTGCACTTACTACACTCCAACAAAATGGTAAGGTTTATAATCAAAATAATACATATTAAACCTCTTTAACATTATTAAATGCACATGCTGAATCACTGATACGCGAGTCAAAGCTCTAAAGTTCAATTTCAATTCATTTATTTTATATTCAAGATCTGAGGTAAACTATCTGTTACTGTTTTCAGTAGTATGGCAATAAATGTCATGAAAAATGGCATTCAAACTCACATTATTAGCATTTAACACTAAATAAAGCACATGAGGTATACCTGAGAAAAACATTGTCAGTTTATCCTGTTGTTCAGCTGCAAGGAATAGAAGCCATTTCTAAAATATCAATTTCAGGTGTTGGTTAGAATAAAAACTCAATGTGCCATTGCTTTTATTTAGAGCACGATTTAAATCACCATTTAAGCTCGATAGTTTGGCACACAACCTGCGCTTGCATGTTTTGAACCAGGCATGCAATACCTAGTTCAACCATTGAGTGTCAAACTTACATACTGCACTTTTAACTAGTTTATTTGCCCTTGTTAACTAGGCAAGTTATTCGGCAAGTGATTGGACAACAGCGTTTCTTCTGTAGCCAATCAAAATAATTTTTTAGAGGGCTAATAATATTAACATTTTTTTATTATTATTATTTAATTGTAGTCAAACTAAAATCAATTTTGAGACCAAATTGGTGAAGAAGACTTGGCGACTTTCTCAAGAAAAAATAATAATATTATGGGAAATACTATCAAAATGTCCTTGCTCATCACTTGGGAAATATTTGAAAAATAATTCAAATTTTACAGCAGGGCTACGAATTTCAGCTGCATCACAATAACATGCCATGATCTTAATCATTTTGTTGACCATATTTTGTTGTGTTTTGCTGAGAACTGTCAAAAAAGTCATCATTTAGAAATATATGTTTTTGGTTTAATTTTGCACATTAGATTAAAATACAAAACTAGAACAGACCCAGTACAAATTCTGACTTACAAGCATGCCCTGGCAGATAGAGGCTTTTGTGTTGCTTGACTGTTGACAGACTGCTTTATAATGTCACTCCAGACAACATGGAACAAATCACAGTGTTTCATCTATATTTAGTTAACACTAGCTCCTTCAAACATTATCCTTATATATCCATCACCTTAAGCCAATGTGTGTGAAAGTGATTGCATGTTAATGGCCTGCTTTTCTCTCTCTTTCCCTTAGTTGCTTCAACAAGCAACCTCCTCCAGTAACCTAGGAGCGTTCAGTGGTATTCAGCAAATGGCAGGTGAGATACTGTTCTGAGATCTGCGTTAACCCAACTAGCCATTGTAACTCCTCAACTAAACTCCCATCCGCCCCTACTAAACCATTCAATCCAGCTACTGTATGGGTCGCGTAATAAACCCAATTAGAAGCCCCAACGAAAGATCAGCAGGGGTTTGGTTGAGAACATTTTCAGACTGTAGTTTCATCATGTTTGCAGAATCCTTGGCTCTCTAAAACTGTAGCGCACCTGGACACTTTAAGCGTATGTGTGTGTGTGTCAGACTTGATCGAGCAAATAAAAGCCATTTTTCCATGCCCGTTCCAATGTACATCAAACCATTTTTGTGTCTTGGAAGAAGATTGTGCCTCATCATCCAATTACATCTCCTCGCCCGAGCTCTGTCAGGCTTATGGGGAACCAGATCATGATGATACGCCCCATCAACCCTCCGATGTCTTCAGCTTTTTACATTTTCACTTTAGCAAAAAGAGGGGAGAACGAAAGAGGCCACTTATCACAGTTTGTTCATGCCACGAATACAGTCAAACTCAGCAGAAACCCGCAGAGAGTTCAACTACACAAGCTGTATTCCTCACTGAAGCTTACGTGATGTGTTATTCTTCCTCACGCTGACTTGGTTTCACACTTTGGAATATGATTAGTGTTTTACAACATCTGCCAATGAGCTTCTGCTTACTCTTGCTGTTAGACAGGTGTATGTTGTTTTCTCTTTGACAGTTTTACGCCTCAGACATCACGTGAAAGTTCTTCTTTGCTCCGTTTGCTTCTTTTTTTTTTTCCCGTTTTCAGTGTTTTTTTGCTGTCTTGTGCATTACATTCCCAGTGTGCGTCTCTGTTCTTGTCAGGTCTTAATTGTGGTCTGTTTATCAAGCTGCCAGGCCTTCAAGGAAAGTGAAATATTTATAGCACGCGCTCTCGCCTAATTGCAGCTGCTAAGGATGAAAGAAAGAGAACGTATTAGCATCCAAAATGGCTTACAGTGTGTGTAGGATGAGTGCCTTTATCTCCTAAAGCCTTCCCCCCTGACAACAGTTTTGCACACCAGAGAGTGGCTTCCTCATTAATGTAGGCTCTTGTGGAGAGGGTGAGCAGGACTGTGGTGTTTTTGTTTACCATTATGAAGAGAGTTCTGGAAGCTCTCGTTTAAGTTCAGTGTACGTCTGTGACAGCCTCTCAGCGAGAATGAAGAGCACATCGAGCCAAACCAGCAGCAGCTGCCACCGCACAATTAAAGAGCGAAAAATTCCCACATTACCATAACAATTGAATTTTCCGGACCTCATTTTTTAAGGCAATATAATCAGCGAAAACAGCTTAGTTTTGACTTAATCAAACTGCTCTATTTGCGGAAATGAATGGGAGTTGGTCATGCATGATGGACGAAATAGTTTGTTAATATACCTACAGATTATATACAGAAATGTGTCAGCGCTGGATTAAAGAAAGGAGCCGTTCAACCTAAAATTGGAAGTTCTGTCATTTGCGCACCGTTGTGTCTTTTTGAACGTGTTTGGCTTGTTTGATTTGGTGGACTAGAAAGGAAGATGTTTTGTCAAGTTGGTCTTTTCCTTATAGTCCAAATCGGACACAATGTGCAAGCCACACATCACCAGGTTCAGCTTCAAATTTTGGTAGGACACATTATGATCTTGAACCAAACTCAACTACATATTAGGTGAAAGAAACACTTCACTTCTTTATGAAAATAAGCTCATTTTTTAACTCCCATCATAAGTTGAGTTTTACCATTTTTTAATCCATTCAGCCAATCTCTAGTCTTGGTGGAAGCACTTTTAGCTTAGCTTAATATAGATCCATGTATTAGACCATTCGTATCTTGCTCCTTGTAGTTTTTGTTTGGGTAGGTTGGAACTAATCTAATGCAAGCAAGTTTGCCTCGTTCTTTCTCCATTTTTATTTTTTTTTTTGTTTCTGACTATTCTTTGTCAGAGTGAAACAATGGCCAAAAGTTTTAAAAAGTATACACACAAGCTAGAAACCTGCTCAATATGACCAGATAAACAGAATCAGCCTGTTTGGAGAGTTGTAAAATGTATTTGGAGAGTGTACCTTTAACATAACCATGATCTAGCAAAGTGTATCCCAACACTGATCCTTGAGCAGGGGTGCCTAAACTCGGTCCTGGAGGGCCTGTGTCTTGCAGTTTTTAGTTCCAACCCCAATTAAACACATCTGAACCAGCTAATCAAGCTTTTTATAGATATACTACAAACTTCCAGAAAGGTTTGTTGTAGCAAGTTGAAGCTACCTGGTAGGGTTTGTTTGGTTAGGTTGGAGCCAAACTAATGCAAGAAAGTGTTCCTTTAATGTAATCATAACCATGACCTAGTGAAGTGTATCCCAACACTGATCCTAGATGTACACAAATATGTTTAACTACTTTATCTGAAATATCCTTTATCTGACCAGTCTCCACTTTCTTTTTGAAAATAAGCTTTATTGATTTTACAACTCTCGTCAACAATTGAGTTTTACTATTTTTTTGATCCATTCAGCCAATCTCCAGTCCTGCTGGAAGCACTTTTAGCTTAGCTTAACATAGACCATTGTATTGGACCATTAGTATCTTGCTCAACAATGATGAAAAAGTCCTAGGAGAGTTTTTAAACAGATTTTTCCTTTAAAGCAGGAAAACCATCTCAATTCCTGGAGGGCTGCAACCCTGCACAGTTTAGTTCCCACCCTACTCTTACCTGTAGGTTTCAAACAAGCATGAAGGACTCAATTAGTCTGATCAGTTGTGTCAGGTGTGTTTAATTAGGGTTGGAACTAAAATGTGCAGAGTTGCAGCTATTCAGCAACTGAGTTTGACACCTGTACTTAAACGTAATCACAACCATGACCTAGTGAAGTGTATCCCAACACTGATCCTAGTGGTTCACCAACGTTACACGTTTTTGCGTAACTCCTTTAATTGACACATCCTTTATCTGACCAGTCTCCACTTACATGAAATCAACTTTGTTTGATTAGAAAATTAAAGCACCCAATTTACCCAATTTAAGCAAACATGAACCAATGAATCAATTTCACAAGGATTACTAGTTTTCGTTTGTGTAGGTTGGAGTTAAACTAATGCAAGTGTAACTCTGCCTGTCCTACACCACCCAACCTGCTCCGAGCTGGGATCTAATCGGTGACCTTCCACATGGGAGTCGGTTGCTCTAACAAGGAGGCTTAAGACCATGGCCTCTACTGCTTGTCACTAGAGCACCTTTAGAGGTCAGAGGATTGAGGTTTACCTGCTCAGCACTTCACTAGCTGGCCTCTGCTACACTCACCCCCCTAAACCTCACCCCCATCCAGGTCACAGCACCAGTATAACCCTGATGGTTTTACGCCACCCAACCCACTCTAAACTGGGAACGAACCAGTGACCTTCCGCATGGGAGTCGGTTGCTCTAACAAGGAGGCTAAAGACGATAGCCTCTAGTGTCTGTTACTAAAGCACCTTTAGAGGTCAGAGGAGTGAGGTTTACTTGCACCACACTTCATTTGTCTGCATTGTTCTCTCTTTCTCCACTTTTCACTTCTTTGTTCCTTACTATTCTGCCAGAGTGGAATAATGACCAACAGTTTCAAAAGGAGACCATAGCATATTCACAAGCCAGAAACCTGCTCAATATGACCAGATAAGCATATCAGCCTGTTAGGAGGGTTGTAAAATGAGCCTTTCTTGTTTTTAAACAGAGAGTATTCCTTTAACTTAGTAATAACAAAGACCTAGTTAAGTGTATCCCAACACTAATTCTAATTCTAGAGGTACACCAACACATGTAACTTCTTTATTGGAAACATCTTTATCTGACCAGTTTCCACTTACATGAAATCAGGTTTGTTTGATTAGAAAAGATTTTAAAATGTGTGCTATTTCTGTGTCCCCAGGAACATGGTTGGGAAACACTGACCTAGTGCCTAGCATCAAGATTGTCCAGATGCCTACTTTCAAAATCCTAGCTTAGGTCCGATTTAAGCATGCATAAACCAACTAATCAAATTCACAAGGATTACTAGAAACTTCCTGGTAGTTTTTATTTGGGTTGGTTGGAGCTAAACTAATGCAAAAAAGTCTTCATTGTTCTCTTTCTCCACATTTCACTTTTTTGTTCCTTACTATTCTCTGTCAGAATGGAACAATGGCCAAAAGTTTTAAAAAGTAGACACACAAGCCAGAAACCTGCTCAATATGACCAGATAAACATATCGGGCTGTTTGAGATGCTACTTGAAGTGTGAATCGACAGGAGCTCTCAAACTCTACAGGATTTGAAGGCTTTTCTCGGCTGAATTGTGAAATCTTTGGGCCCCTCCATCTGTCTCCTGGCAACCGTCTATGATTGGCAGCCGATATATACAGCTGACATCTGCTGTGTCTGTGCTGTGGGTGGAGTTACAAGCCATAAGGAGCTCCATTACACATGATGAACATTCAGCGAGAGCCAGCATCACCTCTTTTCTGACACCTCTCTCTCCGCTCAGTACGCTGAGAGTGTGAACATACTGCATGGATGGATCTCTCTTCTTCTCAATCTCACACACGCAGACACTCACTCTAGAAGTGCCCTTCTCAACCACAGAATTCACATTGTGCCAGATACCCAGTGCCCGTTTTTTTACACTTATGTGCCAAAAACTCGAAATGGTTCCCTTTCCGCTTTATTCACAAGCACAAAGGCGGTCACAAAGCACTCAATTTCAGAGTCCATTTCTGTCGTAACCTTCCTTTTTGACCTCCCAACACTGCACTTTCTCATCCAGTGACAGCTATTTCTGCTTTCTTTTTATAGTATATAATATTCAAGGTTGAAGTCATGAAGCATAAAATCAGAAATGACTTGTTTAATCGACCTTTAACATTCTTGGACTCATTGTGAACAAAAGTAATACATTAAGTATTTGTAATTATTTATTATAATGTGAAGAGGACTTTGTTTTTCCATCACAGATCCCACCAACACCGTCCTTCAAGGCCCCTAGGTTGAAACTAATTTCCATCGGCCCTATCCTACTCTTTCTTCCTTCTTCTTGTTGGAAATGTCACATTATGGACATCAACTTTGCCTTGTATGGCATTTCACACTTACCTTAAACCTGCTATTTAGGACCTGCAACATGTTACAGATGCATCTTTGCCCTTATATCTTGACCCAGGTTTTGTTTTGCAATTAGAGGTAGATTTCCTGCCTCTAATCACCTTCTGTGATGTGCTAATTAGGCTCTTAATTCTCTTGCTTGCTCAGTGGATCGAGAGGGCAGACAAGCGTAGCATCCCCAGAGCACTGTCTGACCAATCCAAATTACATGCTACTGTTGTCTAATGGGATAACGCTGAAAAAGCCTCTTTTTTTCATGATTGCATCAGATTCTGTGTTTGTGTCCTTGCTTTCAATCTCAGCTGACAAACACTGGCATTTGCTTGTCATCTTAGAGGTTGTCTTGTGTCTGTGAAGTCTATGAGACTGTAGGGTGTCCCATTTTTAGTAATGTAGTGCTCACAATCTCTGTTCAGTGGTCACTTTCGTCTAACCAGCTCTTGGAATGAAATCTAGACCATCATGGGACATTTGTCACCAAATTCTTCCCTCATAGGAGGGCTGCATTTGGGACAGGACCTACAGTGTAACTCTTATGTGCACTTCCTCAGCTGTATTTCTGTGTGTCCCTTGTGTGTGTATTTTCTCTGTGTGTGGGTGCTTTCATGTAGTATAGAGTATATACATTTTACATGTATATACGACACATGCTGTGCATTTTCCTGTTGTACCACTTCAAGTCTCTGTCCTTCTTGGCGTTGTGCCACTTCCCATGGTGTGTTGGCGTCATGGCCACTGCATGTAGCCGTGCCCCAAACACACTAATCTAGAGTCACCTTTGGAGTTTGTAGATGTACTCGAGCTCACGCATAGAATTCAATCTTATGTAGCTAACGCCACTACATACAAATTCTTGTACATAAATAAAACATGCTCTTGTAGAGTATTCTGAAGAGCACATGAATGAACCCTCTAGTTTATCATGCACAATACACACGCACGCAGACATTGACACTTTCTCTTTCTTCAGGTATGAATGCTCTGCAGTTGCAGAATCTGGCCACTCTAGCAGCAGCAGCGGCTGCAGCACAGAGCTCGGCCAGCCCGTCCACCGCTAGCGCCCTGACCTCCAGCACAGGGTCCCTGGGAGCCCTGGCCAGCCCAGGTAACCAGAGGCCATCCCATCATCATCATCATCAACAACATCAACATCATCTTCGATAGTGGTATCATTTGCATCATAGCGCCGTTGTCCCTTCTTTCGTTTCTAGTTGAGTTCCTCATTGTCTTTGGTGTTTAAATGTCCTTCATCGCAATGTCTTGTGTATTTGTGTGTTTGTGATTGTAGTTCCTTGGTACCGTCCATCACGGTTCAGTCATCATATTCATCATTGTGTTTGGGAGAATGTGTCAATATGTGTGGCGTTACGTTGTTGTGCTCTTTGGCTTTAACCGTGCTCCACTCATTTCTGAAATCTAAAACCAGGAGACAGTGTGGCACATGGTTCTACCGTTGGTTCTCGCTCTGAAACTTGAGAATTTCTTTCATACTTGCTTAAAGGCAAATGAAGGAAATTTTTTTTTTTACATACTCTTGCTTGTTTTAAGGGATGTTTTGTATTGCATTGCCCTTCTGTAAAAGCATCGTTACCTTCATGATTGCAATAATCAACATTGTTGTCGAGAACTCTTGCCTTTTTTCTGCAATTTTAAGGTACTCCATTTAGGGATCAAACAAGTATTATGCATATATCTATCCACCCGGACATCTATTCATCCAGTCTCATCTACTTCATTAAGACTGCATGATAAGAAATGTATCTATACAGTGGTAATCAAAATTTGAGAACAACCTATAATTTACAACATTTCAAAGTTGCGGCTTAGTCACATTTGACCTTATCCTAACAGAAGTAAATGAACAGGGTAAGGATCAGTGTTGGCATACAGTGTATTGATGTTTAAAAGGATTACTTACAGTAATTTGGACTGAAAGCTCACTCTGGATTGACCAAAACATCTTTAGCAAAGAATCAAAAGGAACTAAAAAGATTCAAAAGCTCAACCTTAACCTTTGCTGAGGACCATGTTGTGCGGTCAAAGTACTGGTCCAAAGTTCACTTTAGGGATGAAAGCAAGTTTAATTTGTCCAATGGGATACAGTATGCTCATCAACAAATTGGATTGCAAAATTAGTTTAATGATATTCACATTACTTGAATATTTAATCCCCGCCCAGTTCGACTATCCACAAATCAATCATCCATCCATGCCTCCTTCCCTCTGTGTACCACCACTAATGCTTTTATATATGTATCTTTAACCATTCCAGTATCATCAGCGATTGTATATGTACATTCAAACATCTCTCTTTTTTTTCCTCCTCCATTTCTCCATCTGTCTCTCCTTCCTACTCTGTCTGTCTTTCCCCACAGCAGGTTCCACAGCAAACTCCAGCGCTGCCATGGGTTCCCTGGGTTCTCTGGGGACACTGCAGGGTCTGGCCGGGGCCACCGTGGGCCTCAATAACATTAATGCACTAGCAGGTAGCGTCAACAGTGAGTACTACCGTCCATCTGCCTCTCCATTTCAATCCATGAAACATCACTTCATACCAGTCAACCACTGCTCAAAGAGATGCCCGCAGTCTCCTAAACACACACATAGTCTATGTGCGGAAGAATTGATGACAGGCTATCGAATTATTAGAAGACGATGCACACCTGAGGTGGTGATGTGGTCATACCGATAGCATTTATTTTCTAATAATTTAATGGACTGGGTCAATTATTTTGCTTACACCTAATAACAACCCCTAAAGATATCCTTCAAATGTTGTATATCAATTTATTTGTCAGATTTTTGTCCTCAAACTACTGCTGGGACTAGTTTTTTACGCATCTCATCTCATTTGACTTTTTGTCTACTGTAGAATAACTGAAATAGTTTGCAGTAGTGATATGAAAGTTTAATGAAGTCAATAACTGTCTGGAACTACTTTAGCTGTACATTTATCTGAAACTAACCCCACATCAGCCAATCAGAATCAAAGATTCAATAAGTTTTTGTTCAATTTATTCTAAAGGGCAAACAAAACAAGGGCATCTCTCTGAGCATCAGTGATAATTTGTTGGGTGATTATTTTGGTAATATATTGAAAGTGTGTGTGTGTGGTTTGTAAAATGGCTCATTATTGAATCAAAATGTATCAGATCAATTCCATTTGCTGAGTCAGAACAAATGTAGTCCATCACTTGTAGTTGTAAGTGTGTTTGCACCAATTGGCCGCATCTTCACACATTAACACACCGCTAAACCATTGCTCTGGGTGTTTCTATAGACGTGCACTTGTGTTGTCGCTATTGTGTGTGTATGTGTGTGTGTGTGTGTGTATGTTGTGTATATGTGTTTTATCATTGGAGTTTGAAGGATTTTAGACTTGAAGAGATAGAAGATGCTGTTTGATGTATACTAGGGGATTGTTCACCCAGAAATGAAAACAAAACAAGGTCAACTCAAAAATACTCACAGTAATGAAAAATCCTTATCAAACAAAGGAATTAGAAGAGGTATGGAACGTTGTGAAGGTGAATAAATTGATCACAGACTTGTTTTTTTTAGGGTTTAGTTCATCCAAAAGTGAAATTTCTTTCACAAATTAAAAACCTTCCTGCCATTCTAAATCTGCAACTTTAATTTGACCTATGTATGCACAATAAATATTGGAATGACTTCTGACATTCCTGTCCATCTAGTGACAGTCTTCTCACCTTAGGAGTAACCACACATGTCATTTTACCCGTGACAGTATTGTATTGTAGTTCTATGTCCTTAATATATATTTATTCTCATTCATGTCCATAAAGTATTATTAATCCAGACATTCTTGCTCTTTTTTTCCATACTTGTTTATGATCTCTCATTTACTAATTAGTTGTTGAATAAATCAGTCTAAAAATCAGGTTTTATAATAGACACATTTTAAACGTTTATATTTCTACACCAAGCTGGAGTGGAAACTAATTAGTGGTCCCTCGTTATTTGCAGTTACTTTCTAAAAAATAACCTGCAATAGGCAAAATCCACAAAGTAATCAGCTTTATTTTTTACAATTATTATAGATTTTTTTAAGGCTGTAAACTCCCTCACTACACACTTTATATACTTATTAACATTTTCACACTTTTCTCTCTTGTTTAAACACTCTCAAAGTTTGAAGAAAACTAATTCCAGTATTAAAGACGAAACCAAAGATCAAAACCATTTATTTATTCTGTAATGGCGCCCTACAGCCGCGTAACTTCTACCTTTCTTTAGCATGTCCAGAAGATCAACTTTTTGTGCAATGGTTAGCATATCCCCCTGCCTTTTGGGTGCTACCGCAGGTGACTTTCATAGTGCAAAACGTCTGGTCAACATTGTGTAGAGAAAACATGCAGTACAGCACTTCAGAGTCACACTGCTAGCGATCAAAGATTTATGTAAACTTAGCAAACTGAACGCATTTTGTACTTTACGGACGACACGGCACAGAGAGGATTGAGTGACAATGGCCTACAGCTAGTGAGGACACATACCACAATGCGCTGTAGAAAAAAAAGCATGTCAAAGTGCACAAAAAAAAAAAAATCCATGAAATTGTGAGGCCATAAAAAGTGAACCCTGTTATAGTGAGGGATCACTGTATATAATGAGAATATTACATTTGCACTTAGATATTTATTTATTTCTCTACATTTTCTTGTTGTAACAAAACTGGCCACCCTAATTCACCCAAAACATTAAAACATGGTTCAGCCTTACAAATCATACATTGCTCTGCGTATGGTTTATTGCATGTTTCAGATGACAAATCCACCAGAGGGCGCTGTTAAATAATGCGCATTTTGTTATACATTTTATATACATGTGCTTCTTGTAAACGTCCATGAGGGCAGGGTTTATCAGACAGATCGCCTGTGAACAACTGACTTAAACCCTTCTCGAAACCCAACCAATAGTGTTTACAAAAGCAAACCTAAGAGAAAAATGCACCACGAGGACATAGTTTAACCTTGATTTTACACTACTTTTATCTCTCTTGTTAAAGTGTGCCTCACCAGACACAAACCCCTGCATCATAAGTATAGCACTGTACAAAGTAAACTACCGAGCAAACTGACCACATGGGAAAAATTGTCCATATAGAGCTAGATAGAGAAAAATAAACATATTTGATTACAAATAATAGACACTGTTAAGTAGTGTTGTGGTATTTATTTGACATTTTGCTAAATAACCCTGTAAATATCATTAGTTTGAAAAGGAGCAAAAGTTGTTGTCGTCATACTGCCCCCTAGTGTTCATTTTACCTAAAACCTGCAGTCAAACTTATGTTTAAGAATGTTTTTGCAGTTTCACAATAATTGAAGAGGCTCAAATCACTAGCTTATAGGTTTGGAATGATATGAGTGTTAGTAACTGATTACAATTTTTCATTTCTGGTTGAAGTATCCCTGAAGTTAGGTTAAGCTAGGTTATGTGAGTCTAATGATACACACAGTAGCTGGTAGACAGTTGCACATTAGCTTTTGTGCACGTTTCCAAGACTGGACAGCTGTATTGAAAAATCAGCATTCAAGACCTGCGCTATTCATCTTCTAATAGAATGTACCTAATGGGCGTTGCGGAACATAATTAGTATGAATAGGCGTGCGAAAGATCAGTGTAGCCTGTGCATGTGTATATGTCAATGTTTCGGCACGCAGGCAAAATCTCTATCCACCGCCGCTGACCTTTCAGCCAGGTTTCCAGTTTTATAAATCAAGCTCTCTGCAACAGAACGCCTACAATTTAAATTCATTCAAATGACTCTTTCTCACACATACAAACACACACACACACACACACTCCCAGTGCTCATTTAAGAGGCTGTATTGTGTAATTGAATATAAAAGGTCAGCATTGTAATTATTGCTGGATAAATGAGGGATCTGGCCGTCCAAGCACTTCGCTCATCATTTATTGTTTCCAGGCCGTCAAGCCAAAAGGCCAGTCAGTAAATACTCATGAATCAGTCTTTATAAACACACACACACACACACACACACACACACACACACACTTATGCATCATTTATAGTCTGTACACACTACGTGTAGACAACTGCTTCTACACAGAAAGACGATTTGAGCATGTTGTTAAGCAATATGAATATTTATTTCCATATAGTAGCTTTTTAAATAAAAAATAACTATTTTATTACATTATATTGTAATGTATCTGATGCTTCTGATATAATGAAAGCATTTAACATCTAATTAATTAGTTTGTTTAGAAATAAATGACAGATTATTTGAATACTGAAGTCAAAAAATTGATTTGAACTAGTTTGCCCCTCTTAAGTTATTGAGGTTTGTAACCAATGTAAGGTAAAGCTCAGTTTGAGAAAGGCTGGTGTTTTTGATCTCTGCTGGAAGTCAACTGTGACGTGCTTTTGATCCATAACCATTGTGCTATTGAGCAAGACACTAAACCCCGGCTTGCTCCAGGTGGATCGTGCTTGTAGTAAGATTATGGTGCAATCTACCCTCAGTATTACATGGCTTTAGGTGTAGTTTCCCCCCTATAAAACCCCTATTTTATTTTATTTTGTTTTATTTTATTTTATTTTATTTATTTTTTTGTTTTATTATATATATACTTAATATATCAATTATACTTCATATCAGACTTACAGGAAACACCCAATAAGGGCGATTTTTTTTATTTTAAAAATATGACCACTAAATATTCCGTCTAAATATCCACTAAATATAATGACTAAATATATTCATATTTTGTTTCATTTTGCAAAAATATATATGTTAAATGAAATGATGATTATTTTGGACGTAATTTCACATTCATTTTTTATTTTTGGTTTTATATTTGCAATTAATTTCCAACAAAGAAAAAAAGTTATTTCCGTAAATATAAGTTTATTTTAAATAATATAATTATTAATTCATTAATTCTAATTCTAATTTTAATTTATATTATAATTTCATTAGATACATAATTCAAATATCTCATATTTGACCCCCTTCTATTTATTTATTTATTTATTTAATTAATTAATTATTCAATTATTAATTTATTTATTTTTGCTTGTTTATTTGCTTGTTTAATTATATTATAGATTTTTTTTTTTATTTAGCAAAACTATTAAAATTTATTTTTATTTTATTTGTTTTTTTTATTTACACTATTTAGCACTATATAATATGATTTTTAAAATAAATAATGAATTAATATTTATTTATTTTTTCTATTCATTTATTTATAATATAATTTTATTAGATGCATAATTCAAATATTTCATCTTTGACCAACACATTTCTATTTATTTATTTATTCAGTCATTAATTAATTAATTATTTTTGTTTATTTGCTTGTTTATTTAGTATATTTTAGATTTGTTTTATTTACTTATTTACATTTTGTAAAAGGTTTCAAATTTATTTTTAATTGATTTGTTTATTTGTTTAAATAATCTATTTTTTAAAACTCTATTTACACTTATTAACACAATACTATATTTTAAACAATATAGTCAAATATTAATTAAATAATTTATTAATTTATTTAGTTATTTATGTGTTCAATCATTATTAATTTTTTTTTGTTTATTTGCTTGTTTATATAGTTATATTTTAGATTTTTATGTTTGTTTTATTTATTTTTTTACATTTTGTAAAAATTTTCAAATATATTTTTTATTTGATTTTTTTGTTGAAATTAATAACATTTTTAAACTCTTTTACACTTTTTAACAAAATACAATATTTTTAAATAATATAATTAATTAATTGTATTATTTATTTATAATATAATTTCATTAGATGCATAATTCAAACATCACATCTTTAACCAACACTTTTGTTAATTAATTATATTTAAGATTTTTTGTTTCATTTATTTATTTACATTTTGTAAAACTTTATATATATATATATATATATATATATATATATATATATATATATATATATATATATATATATATATATATATATATATATTATTGTTTGTTTGTTTAAATTAATCTTATTTTTAAACTCTATTTGCACTTTTATTTAAGAGTAAATGTAGCCTTGCTAAGGATAAGCGAAAAACATCTTTCAAACACATTAAAAATCTTTTGAACAGTAATCCCAAAGAGTTTCTCCGCACCGATGCCCGTATGTTTACAGAAGTTACTCCCCGAAGCACGTTTGCATCTGTTTCTGCAGGCTGGGCTTCTGCCTTTAATGCGTTTGTATTTTATTAAAAGCCTTTAATGTTTTCCCCACAACCCCTTTTTAATACACAGACTGCTGACACGAATAACGAGATAATTAACGTAGCGCTCCGCAGTGTAAGGTTAAAAAGGTGATTGGTCAGATGTTTTGTGTGTCTGAGGGTCGTTTCGTGCTGCTATTGTGACATTGTGCATGTTTAGGCCGCGCTCCTCATTTGCATACACCGGTCAGTATATTATGTATCTTCTCTATCTTGTGTTATGTGTGTGTGTGTGTGTGTATATCTGTGTGTGAGTGGGTGGTGTTTATGATGTATTGTCCTGCGTGACGTTTGTGGTTCTGCCGTTTCAATGACTGTTACAGTCAAAAGTTTGAGATCAGTGAGAATTCTTAAAATGAGACAATTCTGCTCACCAAGGCTGCATTTACTGAATCAAAAATGCAGAAACAAAATTGTAAAAACAGTGAAATATTTTTAGTATTTAAAATGATTGTTTGCTTACTGAATGTAGTTTAAAACTGAATTTATTCTTGCGATTCAATCCTGAATTTTCAACATCATTATTACAGCCTTCATGGTAACAAGATCATTCAGAAATATTAGTTTTATGGGAGGGGAAGCTTCAGCTGACCATTACAGATGAGGAATGGGATCTGGACTCTAGATTAGATCTGTTATAGGGCCAAATCTATTTAATTAAGAATTTTTCATAGATTACACTTGTACCAATTCTCAGAAGTAAATTTAGTAGTAATTGTGTTGAATGTAAGGTGGAAGTGGGAGACAACACTTATTTATTATTGAATTGTGCTGTTGTTAGCACTTATTGGTCAAAAGTTGTTACTTTTATGAGCCATTTGTTTGACAGTTAGATCCTTGATCTTTGATCTTAGGTCTCCCAGTTGGACGTTTGCCTGACAAACTCATTAATCGTTTATTTTACATTTTAGCCTTTGCTGCTTGGAAAAAAACATACTAATAAACTGGATCAGCGACAACCTTTCATCCTTGAAAGGGTGGCACAATATTATTATATTACTGTGTCATTCATATGTCTACTGGGGCTTTTTATCAAGTCTGGACTCCTTACTTGGATTTTATTAATGTTTCTTTAAGCTGTATTTTGAGTTATGGTATGTCGTTATTGAATTTATGTATTTTATTTTACTATTATTTTATCTATTTATATATTGTCATTTTGTTTATTTAATTATTATTATTATTATTACTATTATTTGTTATAATAATTTTATTATTTATATCTTTAGCATCATTTTTTAATTATATATTATATAATTATTATTAATTATATTTAAATAATAATTTAAATATATATATATATAAAATTATTAATATTATTGCTATTATTTATGTATTTATTATAATTATTTTATTATTTATATCTTTCTTTAGTATTGTGTTGTTAAAATGTATTTTGAGATTAATAGTTAAAATGTAATAAAAAGATGGAATAAAAAAAAAATAATAGTTTTATTATGAATAATTATAATTGATAGTTAATCACTGGTGATGTTTAAATGGGTTTATTTGATGAATATAATGTTCAAAATAACAATAACAGCATTTACTTTTGGGAAAACAAACAAATAAACAAATAAATAAATTTCTCAACTGATATTTAACAGAGCAAGGACATTTTCACAGTATTTCTGATAATATTTTTTTTCAATTGTTTTATTTTGGCTAGAATTAAATATTTTTTTTAATTTTTACATTTTATTGTCAATATTATTAACCCCTTAAGCATTTCTTTTTTTAAATATTATGTACTGTCATCATGCCAAAGATAAAAGAAATAATTAATTAAAATTTATTAAAATATTTGGTTTAGAAATGTGTTGAAAAAATTTTCTAGAGTCGAGTCCTGAAAAACTGATAATAATACACTGATAATATTAATAAATTTTTAATAATAATAATAATACAATCAATAATACATTGAGCAGCAGAATATCACAGTAAATATGATTTCTGAATGATCATATGACACTAAAGACTGAAACTACATTGGATAAAGAAAACGGTCAGTTTAAATGATTATAATATTTGTTCAGCTTTTGCAAATACAGCTTTGGTAGGCACAGGTTTCTTTTAAAAGCACTTGAAAAACTTACTGACTGACTTATTTGACAAGCAGTGTACGTTTCCATGTGTCGTTGGTTTTTATTTTTGTGTGTGTGTGTGTTCTGTGCGTGTCGTGTTGTGCTTTGTTGTAGAAACACACCCCGAGTTCAAATGCTAACGAGTAAGAGCACTTCTTTTTTCTTTATTGTTGGGTTTTATGTAAAGTTGCTCACATGCTCTCAGGTATGGCGGCTTTGAATGGCGGGCTGGGCAGCACAGGTCTGAGTAACGGGTCGGCCGGGCCTATGGACGCTCTCACACAGGCCTACTCAGGGATCCAACAGTACGCGGCTGCCGCCCTGCCCACCCTCTACAGCCAGTCCCTACTGCAGCAACAGAGTGCTGCGGGCAGCCAGAAAGAGGGTATGACACACACAGACGCAGATGTAAACTAGTTTTACAAAAATCTAAATTTACTCTCCATTTACTCAACCTCAAGGGGTACTTTCTTCTTGTGAACACAAAAGAAGACATTTTGAAGAATAATGGTAGAGATTGAGATCCATAGTTGGAAAATATGGATCAATGGCTTGTGGAAATTAATGTCTTCTTCAAAATTAGTTTTTTGTGTTTAAACAGTTTTGGAAGTGGATGATGAGTAAATTATATGCAATATAAAACACATATAAAAATGCAAATTATATTTTGACTATCACAAGGGTATTTTTTCCCAGCAATGTTAACTATTTAGTTTAAAATTCAAGTTGTCTTTATTTTATGTATCAATTATAATAATTGTTTTTTCATAATATTATATTCCTATATTATAAATCGGAAGTGCTCAACCCTCCCAAAACACACATGAACCAATTAATTAGGACCTGAACAATACTTGATAATTACAGGCAGGTGTGTTTGATATGGGTTGGAAAGTATATATAATAAGCAAACTATTGTGATTTATAAATATCCAAATATATAAAATGTAAACCATTTAAAAATCACAGAGGCAATGAATAAAAACATTCTGTACACATTTGTTATCATATTATGACACGTGACATGTAATTATTTAATGGTTTGTGATTCTAAAGTTTATTAGACAGTAATATTTTAAAGTGTTGTCCTTATAAAGTTTTATAAGAATTATAAAATATGGTTTAAAAAATTCATTGAAAACCTGTGTTGTTTTGTAAAAGTAAACATTTAGTTAGAAATTCATATTACATAGATGTAAATTAATTATAAAATTCATACATATAGCTCATTTATGTCGCACAGCAGATCTGGAAAAATATACATGACAAAAATGTAAAAAAACAAAGTAATTTTGCGCTTCAAGTGTGCAGTTGATTAAGCATTTATATTTATATACAGTCAAAGTCAGAATTATTAGCTCCCCTTTGAATTTTGTTTCCTTTTTGAAATATTTCCTAAATGATTAAATGATGTTTAACAGAGCAAGGACATTTTCACAGTATGTCTGATAATATTTTTTTCTTCTGGAAAAAGTCTTATTCGTTTTAATTTGGCTAGAATAAAATCAGTGTTTGATTTAAAAAAAAAAAAAAATATATATATATATATATATATATATATATATATATATATATATATATATATATATATATATATATATATATATATATATATATATATATATAAGACACAATTATTAGCCTCTTTTAAGCTATATTATTTTCAATAGTCTAATTTATTGTCATCATGGCAAAAATAAACTAAGGGGGGGGGGCATTGTGGGCTAATAATTCTGACAATATACATAAATACTTTAACTAATAGTGAATTATGAATATGATATGCATAACCAGAATTTATTGCATTTTTTGTACAATTCCTTTTGTAATATTATAAGGATAAATAAATCAACAACAGCATAATAAATTGTAATCTTATCAGTTTCAAATTTTGTTTACTATTACTGCGTCTATTTGCTGTTAAACTATGTAGAAGATTTGTAAATGCAGCAGCACGGTTGTGGCTTCTTTGTTAAATGTGCATGCTCTGTTTGTGTGGAGCAGGACCTGAAGGAGCCAACCTGTTCATCTACCACCTGCCACAGGAGTTTGGGGACCAGGACATCCTACAGATGTTCATGCCTTTCGGAAACGTGGTGTCTGCCAAAGTCTTTATCGACAAACAGACCAATCTGAGCAAGTGCTTTGGTATGAACTGACAGACAGTCACAGAGGAGACACCGCAGGCATTTTTAAAAGGATAGTTCACCCTAAAACAAAAATGTCAAATCACTATCCACTTCTTTCCAAACATGTATGGACTTCTCTATTATGTTATGGACAGGAAAGAAGATATTTTGAAGAATGCTGGAAACTGCTAGCTATTTTCTCTATCTGGATTGTAATTGTTTCTCAAGGGGATATAAGGGATATTTGCCATTTAAAACTGGTAGAATAGCTGCTTGAATCCAGAATGTTTGTGGGATTTTTTCTTTTTCTTCTCACGACCCAAGAGAAAAACACTGGCCGAATTACCTACTTTTTTTGGACAAACAGCATGGTCCTGTGGTGATTTAAATGTAATCCAAATCCACGTCTAATTGAAATCAACCCAAAAAACTTGTTTTGTAAAGCCTTTTTGGTCATTGTGAGCAGTTATACTTCTGTGTTCTGTCCCTGTCTGCAGTGGAGTTTCTACAGTATCTTCCACTTTTTTCTTTGTTATTGTTTTAAGTTGTAATGCCTGCAATGCGACTGTAGAAATAGCTCAGGCTTACAAGCATTCAGGGAAAAAAGAAGCTGACAACTTTAATTACAAAATAAAAACAAAACTAAGGAAAAAAAATCTGGAGCTCATTCGTGGGACTCTAGACTTGTTAAACACCCACATGGTGGGACTTGTGAAGCTGCGCATTTATGGATTTGCTCTTTAGTGATCAGACTTTTAGCAGAGAAAATCAAACCACATTGAACTGAACTTCAACTCTGAAAACTAGACTGACACAGTTTCACTTTACTACCACTGTGTTAAGCTGCTTTGACACAGTCTACATTGTAAAAGCACTATAGAAATAAAGATAAATTGAATTTAAATGAACGTCTCTCACCTCCACTCACATTCGTCACTGCTACCCAGCTGACCAATCACAGATCTTCCACTCCATGTCGTCCCAATGTGTTTTTACATTTTTCAAGAACATTCTTCAAAATATGTTCTTTTATGTTTAACCGAGGAAAAAACAGATTTAGGTTTTTTGGGGTGAACTATCCACAATCATTTTTATTCATAAATGTCTACTAACTATCTAAATGGCAGAAAAAATAGATATAAATCATTTTAGTTATTAAATTCAATGTTTTAGTGAACCCTTTCAGGAAAATCTACATGGACTGCATGTTAAAATCATAAGTGAAACATACATGAAACGTGGTTTTGGAATGTGACATGATCATGTTTTACATGAGTATGTTACAAAACCACACATTCCATCTATGTCTTGCTTGTAATTTTAACACATGAAGCTCGTGAGACACTTGTGTTTTTTCTATAAGAGATGCATTGTCTAAAACAGGGATGTCAAACTCAATTCCTGGAGGGCCGCAGCCCTGCACAGTTTAGTTCCAACCCTAATTAAACACAACTAATCAAACTAATTGATTCCTTCAGGCTTGTTTGAACCCTAGAGGTAAGTGTGTTGGAGCAGGGTTTGAACTAAGTTTTTAGTTCTAAGTTTTAGAGTTTGACATCCCTGGTCTAAAACATTGGTTTCAGTAAACCATTATTTTAATGATCAAAACCATTAAAGAATAAATAACTAGCTGACAAGATTTTAAAAAAAAAACAATTATTAGGTTTTTAATCATAGCAAATATTGTGTAAAGATTAAAGTAATGACAATAACAACAATGGATTTTACATGAACAAAATCTACTAAGATTTGAAAGATATTCAAGCCTTTTTTAAATGCACAATAGGTTCATTTTCATTTATATTTTCACTAGTGCATAACTTAGACTTTTTTATCTGACTCAGTGTAAACTGCAGATAACCTGAATAAAAATGTAAGCATTTTAACTGTCAATATTTTATATTTTTTATCATCAAACTGATAAATGTTTTATTGTATATGTAACCCTTAAACTAATTTTACCCGTCATAAATCTAGTGGGTAAATCATAGTGGGTAAATTCTCAACTTGGGAACCGACTACACAATCTTATGGCAATTCATACAGTGTAAAATATTATATGATCAATTAGTCATGACAGAATTTAGGTCTTAAGGTCATTATAACATATTAAACTGAGTTAATCATGTTTTAACTTAATTTTATAAGTCACAAGCTGTTTTAAGTCGGTTTAACATAATATAAGTTCAATTAACTCATAAGTTTAATTTCATTTAGCTTTCAAATTTAAAGCAGGTAGGATTTATTTACAGTGTAACTTTTTGATTTAGTGGCTAATTTGTATGAATTTTTATGATCTCATTCATACATTTTAGTACAATAAGCTAATCCCCCGTGATGGTTTGGTTGTAGTATGGAGGTATTCTTTCTTAAAATACATTTAAAAAAAGTTATATTTCCTTGTGAGATCGGGCTAAAACCACCGTTGCTCTAAAATAAGAAGAATCTGTAATTTGCTCTCAAACATGATCAAAATCTGTCTTGTCTTTCCTCTACCACAGGTTTCGTCAGTTATGACAATCCAGTGTCTGCGCAGGCCGCCATTCAGGCGATGAACGGCTTTCAGATCGGCATGAAGCGTCTCAAAGTCCAACTTAAGCGCTCGAAGAACGACAGCAAACCGTACTGATCTTAGCACTAGGGCCTCTCTCATGTTACACTGCTAGGGTAAGTCCCCACTGCTGCCACGGTCACCAAACTGGGACTCCAAGGGGAGGGGGTGCACGAGGGGGGAGTTTCACCCTTTGACCACCAGAGGGAGCCACTCTCCCTAAACCGTCTTTTCAGCTTTTTCAATTAATAACAGTATTATTATTATTATTTGGTCTCTTTTTTTTTTCTCCTCCACATGAACGCTTCCATTTTCCGCCATTTATTATTATTTTATTTGTATGACTTGCGATGAATGAACAGCTATTATTGGTCAATTTTTTGATTCCGTTTAAGTCATGTGTAAACATTTTTTTTTAAAGTAAATATTTATACAATGGCTATTTCATTCTATGATGAAAACAACAGCAGAAAGTAACGATGTATAAAGTATTATTTGTTTCTCTTTGTGAACCTGAGGCTTGTAAGGACAAGTAGAGAAGGTTCCGATATGATTAAAGCACCAATATGCACATTAACCTTTGCCCTTTGGCCTCTGGTGTCGGTTCAGGGCTTTGCTGCTCCTTCGAACCCTTGGCCCACTGGCACTAGAGAGGAAAGGGTTAAACCCGCTGTGGCCTCTCTGTAGTCAACGGCAACAACTGCCTAAACAGCTTCCTCAACAAATACTTGCCGTCAAATGTTCAGTGATTTTATTAATTTGTTTTTTAGATTTTTTTTAAAATTCATTTTCTGTCAGTATGTTTATTTTCGTTTGTGTTTGTTTGTTTGTTTATTTGTTTTTGAAGAACAAAAAAAAAATAGTCCGAATTTATGCGTCAGATAATTGTGGTCTTTGTCCAACAGAATTTGTGTAGAGCATTAAAAAAACAAACATTTTGATCTGTCGATGGTTTAAAAAGAATAAAGCATTCTAGGTTCTATGTGGAGGGATGGGGGACTGAAAACTTGATATTTATCGAAAGAAAAAAAAAACTTAAATTACAGAAAGCCACAGGCCTGTAAATTTTATTTGTAAAAAAATGCAGTTCTATTTTTATACAAAATTTCTACTGCCTCTGAAGTAAAGGACTTTATTTATTATCTTTTAAGTTATTGGGTTTGGAAAGTCGTGCTCTATCCTGAGCCTCGTCCGGTAGTCTTCTTAAACCACACCATCCGCTGTGTGACACGTACAAAACCCCCTCGTTTTCTTTCTTTCTTTCTCTCTCTCTCGCCTTCCCTCTTGCCATTTCCCACAATCCCATCCGTCACGTCCCCATCATACCTGTCTCTTCCTCTTCTCTCTCTCTCTCTTTCGTCATACGTAGTGTAAATCTCTCTCTTTTTTACGTTTCATTGCGTATTGTTTGGTTTTTGTTCGTTCACTCCAAAAAAAAAAAAAAAACTGAACAGTTTCTCCCAAACGGCGATCCATCTGCGGCCTCGGATTGGGGTTCAGACCGGGATGGATACTTTTGGGTGTGTGTCTGTACTGAGGAGATGGAATGTGTGTTTGTTCTTGTAAATGTGTGAGCGAGTGCCTCATTTACGTGTTGCCAATCTATTAGAATTCTGTGTATTATTCGAAAAAAAAAAATCAAATGCTAATGTGATGTTGGTGAAACGCTGGTTAATAGCGCTGCTGCTGTTGTTTGTTTGTTTTGTATGTTTGTATGTTTGTTTGTTTGTTGTTCTCATGGTTTAATGATGTTAGTTGTGTGCCGGAGCTGTGTGTGTAACTCTCCTCTCCCGTTTTCTTCCCTAGAACTCATCTCCATGACTCTATGCTCATCGTTTGCCTAGCATGTCTACGTGGCGTACAAAAAAAAAACGTCTCATCGTCCCGTCATTGTTTCTGATGTCTTTCTGAGTTCTCCTGCTCATAATCTGGTCTCCTTTTAACTGATCTTTGTACTTTGATCTTAGCCTGATCTTTTTTGGAGAAAAAAAAATCGCATGTGACCTCATTTTGAGCTTTGTTTTATTCCTGTTTTTCTTTGGTTTTGCTTTGTTTTAACTGGTGAGGGAGGGAGGGAAGGAAGGAAGGGAGGAAAGACTAAAGAAAAAAAAAATACAATAATAATAATGTGAAAACGCTGCATTCACACTCTAGAGACAGAGTATATTTACTAACATAACCAGAGCATCATTTTAAGAAAATAGAAAAAAAAGAAGAAAAAAAATTCCTGTGGCAAAACATTTACGAGTATTTTCGTTCATTATTTTTCCGTTTGTTTTTATTTGTCCGATTGTTTTGTTTCTCTCTCTCTTTATGTTGTTTTTTGTTTCATTCATTTAACGTAAACTTGAACGTTCAATACAGGGATTGGCGTCGGGACTTACTGTTGGCAAACACTCTTAATTTGAGGCCTGCCGTAAGAAACCGGCGTCGGTTTCTAAACGAATAGACTACTTCCACGCAGTTTTAATAAAAAAAGAAAAAAAAAAGCTGTCTGATCGATATTAGAATCTCTCAGAGCTTGCTCGTGGTTTTTACATTTTTCAGGCAGTGTAAAGTTTTTTGATAAGGCCATTTTAAGTGGCTTGATTTCTCATTAAAGTCTATATAAAACCACTTTTTTCTAGAGTAGTAAAGGTATTAAAAAACACACACACACATACACACACACACAAGATTGCCCTGTTTGGGGGGAAATGCTACCTACGTGTCACACCTTTTGCTGAACTGACTTACAGTTAGACAATCCGTGGTTTAAATGCACATGAAATGACCTATATTTTATACTGTTTAAATGTATAGAGGAAAAAAAAAACAGAGTTTGTGTAACCCGCGGTCCCGTCGGTGCTTTTCGTGGATAAAGTCGTGGTTTCATCAAGTCTAACAGTCTTATTTGTCTCATGTTTTTAAAGAGAAGACTAAAAATCAATTTACTTGAACAATAGACAAAGCCTTTCATAAGTACAATTACTACTAATTTTGTTTGTTTTTTTGGGTTTGTTTACTTTTATTCTCGTTTTTTGTTTAGTTTTTGTTTGTTTGTTTATTTGTTTGTTTGTTCTTTTAAATAGGAGTCCCTCTTTGCTAAATTTCTTGTTGGGTAATTAGCTATATAAAAATCCTTAAAAGTTACAGTGTCGGCTTGTGAAGCATCTATGTCATTCTATTATTTTATTTCTATTGTGGGAAACAATATTTAGATGTGTTATGTTGTTCAGCAAAATGTGATTTTTTTTTCTTATAAAGAAAAAAAACAAGATGAGTGGAATTTAGTGCCAAATTCTGACGGTACATCCTGCCTACAGCTTCAGTGTTTTACTTGTGAAATTATTTGATAACATGGGTATTTTATTACGTAAGTGTTTTGTATGGAACCCTCATATTTAAAGATATAGATTTTAAAAAAAAGGTTGTTAACTTGCTCTTCTGTGGTCTTGTTGCCTGAAAATGTTCATGTTTTTTGCTTTTTCTTTCTTTCTTTTCTTTATTTGTAAAGATGTAAAAAGTGCCCATGTGTCATAATCGCTCTCACAAGCACACACGCACACACACACACACATACATTCACAGGTAAGCACACATATGCACGCATACACACACCTGTGCTAAAGGTTGACCTCACAACCCTCTTTTCTTTGACGGTGTGTGTATGTGAGCCCCTGAGATTGAGTCTCAGCAGTTCTCCTTATGAACACACACACACATATACACGTAGATCCAATTACACCACAGGGGGCCCAAAATTGACAGAAATTACCATGTGATGGGAGAAAATATTGACGTATTTCTGTGAATTGTAATTTTTGACCATCGTGACAGCCTCGTCGTTACACAAATAATCATTACAGTTCAGTTAAAAACGTCTCCGTGTAGTCTTGCTTTTTTTGCTGCCTTTATCAGGACAATTTTACGTTCGTAGGACAACCAAATCTCGTCCTGAAGCCAAAGTAGTTCAGTGTGATCCACGGTTTGCAATAGCGCCTGTAGCACTTTGCTGTAAACGTTTACACATCGTTCAAACGGCCCATAAAACAAAAATAATATTGTTTACAAACGTAGTTTACAGGCAGCCCCCGTCAGACCAGTTTACTTCACTCTATAGCACTATTTTATACCCAAGCTCTGCCGTTGCCTTAACACTTTGATCAGTATTAATGGGCTGGAATTCATTGCTGCACATTTCAAATGTGTGCCAAGGGTGTCTGCATGTGTGTGAATACAGGTGTGTGTCTTCGTTGTGATTGGTTGTTTGTCGTCCTTTTTGTTTCAAAACCTAAGCCAAATCTAAATCTGCCAAACTGTGTGCCGGTTAAAAACGTAAGGGACTCCTTCGTGAAACTAGAACAAATTTGCATATATTGTTCGCCAAGTAAAAAGTACATTTTCGTATGAATCAATTATTTCCTGTAAAATCATTCTTAGATGACAGAATTTATTACTAGATATTGTGCAGAAAAATGTTCTTCCTTAAATTGTTTGTAAAAAAAAGTTCTATGTAAACCGGACTTGTATAAATTGTATACAGTTGTTCTATGTAAATTTTTAAGCACAATCAGAATATTTATAACATCCTTCTTTCTGAAATTTCCAAACATGTGAATTTGTTTTTGAAAACCATACCGTTGTGTTAAAGTAAAATTTGAGCACATAAAATGTTCATAAATGTGTTCCTCCTCAAATTATTGGCCTTAAACAGAATGTATTTCTGTATAAATCGTTTGTAAAACCAGCCTTGCGCAAATTTGTTTTATGTTCGTACGTACATTTTTTTAACACAAACAGAACAATTCATTTATATTTTGTTTATCATCGCGTGAATTACAACCTGTGTCCATTCGTATGTAAATTGCCATGCACATGAATTTGAGTAAACTGTCTGGAAAAAAGCAAGCAGGACATTTTTACGTCAAATTTGTCTTGTGTGAATAATTCTAAATACGCAAAAAGATTCTGGATTTTTTTTTCCAATGGTAAACGCAGAACACATTTCTATATAAATCATTGATAAAACCACAATTTTATAAATCTTCACTGTAAGAAATGCTGGGTTCTACCCAGTTCCTTAATTTTGTCCCAAC